AAATAACCAAGTATAAGAAGAGCTTCAGCATTCGAATTACAGTTTGAACTCTTTTTTCCAGAATCGCTCGGTGATACATTTGTGTGCAAGAATATGTTGATACTCACTCTAACTTTTTTATATCAGGGAATTTTCACGTCTTTCTATCTTGCTGTGTTTCCGACAACGTTCAGGTATCTTACTTTCACTGCGTGCTTTATTCAGCTTACTCGATCGCTTTCTGCACCATATTTCGCTTAACGTTTCTAATTATTAGGTCTCACATCCTATAAATGTGGATCCCAGTCAAGTAAAACGAATGAGAAAAAAAATGAGACATTTTTAGTCCCACGTTGAGAAGGCCCCACTGTTTCAATGGCCCTTTCCCCTTCCAGGAGCATCTATACACCAAGTAGCTTCATTTTTCAAATTGTGCGGATGAAATGTTAAATCGGTTTGGGCGATCGACAAGATGGCGCAGTGTTTGACACTAATCTGTGTCTTCAGTTGGCCAAATAACTGGAAAAGCACGGCTGCAGATCGTAAAAATATAATAGTTATATCCATGCTTAAACATTGTTTTTCCTTAAATACTAGTTCGTAACATAACAGTCAGATGGAGGCGGTGTGAGGAGGGCGTGATGAACCTGCCTCCAGCTGCTTTGCTCTACCGGTAACGGGTAACTGGCTGGTGATCGATTTAGGGAAAAAACACAACCAGTGGTGGAATTGCCGTATATGAGGTCAGTCGATGACCGATCCGAGTGATTGCGATGATACCAAGTCTAGCTTTGCCCGCAGCCCCTTTGTTTTCTCGTCAATACTCCATTTGCGTGCCCATTTTCAAATGGGATGATGTTATAGATTTTTAGAATTCTAGTCTACAGTCTACATATAATATTTGTGTGCTGCATGTTCCAGTATGTCACGACATGTAGGTTGTGCATATTTCGACGCTGGGGTAGTACCTTTAGAAACGGTCTCCAACAATTTCTTCCCTACAAAAGCTTGTTACTCAGTGTTAGAATCAAAAAAAACTCATAAAACCGCATTTTGCTCCATGACATCCTTCTGACAATCGATGCATTCGTTAGCACTCGTGGAGCAAGAAAATGTTGTCGAAAGACGACCTAAGTTTTAGGGAAGCTTCACAGAGTTGGCGAGGCATATGAAAGCGCCAGTCGGACGCTTGGCTGACGCCGAGCTCTCTTCCTCTCTTTAGCTGGCTTGGCTTCGTCAGGCGCACTTCATAATGGAAACGGAATTTGTTCATTCACTTAGCTGCTCATACTGCGCTGTTTTGATCGATTGATAGATGGAGCGACCCATGCAAGAGCTCACGTCCAGCTGCCACGCGAGCAGCTTGTGACTGGCTCAAAGTATACTGAGTGGTTGTCTTATAGTATACTGAGTGGTTGTCTTATATAGTTGAGGATATTATCACAATCAAAACAACATCTTACTCTGTTACTTTATTATGGATTTGCTTGCGGTTTTGCTAGCGGTCAGGTTCAGGCGTGCGTTGCGCGCCCGCTCACCGTATGCCCTTCGCCCAAAATCTTCCCCTTGCCTCCCTATCCTGCACGAGCTCACGTCCGGCTAAGGACGTGCAGGGGAACGAAACGGAGTAGTCGGTACTCCGCCCCAGCCTGCCCGCACGAGCAAACGTCCAGCTGCCACCCGAGCAGCTCGTGCAGTGGCTCGAAGTGTACCAAATGGTTGTCTTATATAGCGGGGGCTGTTATCACAGATCGTCAAAAATTGGATTGATATTCTGCACCAGGCGGTTCCCGATTTCGGGGGGCTGTTATCACAGTCAAACATTGGATTGATATTCTGCACCAAGCGGTTCCCGATTTATCTAGCGGTCGTTTCCTCCTTTCGTCTTACCTGTTTGATCCAAGAAGCATTTTGCGGATTTTGCGGACATACAAACAAGCAAACAAGCAAACAAACAAACAAACATACATACATGCTTTCATACATACATATCGAAACGGACACACTAAGTTACTGCTTTATAGAATGGAACGATTACGCTTATCGGCTAACAATGTGAGGTCGTCTCCAATTCGCAAATGCGCTTCCAGCGATGAATGGCGGCACTTCCTTGTTGTTCAACTATCTAAATTCACATCAATAATAAATCAATTCGAAATAAATGAAAACAAAAACGCTGCCATGTTGATGTTGTCTTGCTTAGTTCTAGAATCGGACTTCTCTATTTCCGATATATCGTAATCACATCGGAACGGTTTTGTTTCAGCTTCGTGTACTCCTTGAACGAAAATGCCTACTTGGTCGCTTTCTACGGTATCTGCTTAGGACTAGGAGAATTCATTGGTGTGTCGCACTGTGATTTTCATCAAGGTGGCCTTCATAGCACCTCAACTTTCAGGAGGACTATTTGTGTATTTCCTATCGAGGCGAATAAACAACTTTAGTCTTACGCCAACGATGCTTTGTCACGCATTGTTTAGCATGTGCTTCCAAGCACTGGTCTTCATATCGTTTCCCACGTGGTCGACGGCACGACCATCTGGTGGTGAAGGCCTTCTGTTGTCACCCACGTGAGTTTGCTGCTTTTTTTCTCCGCTTAAGATTGACTTATTAATTTTTCAGAGTTACTACTTGCGTCCTCTGTGGGCTGTTTGCAGGTTTGGCTGACTCGACCATAACTACCGCTCGAACAGTTGTATGCCAAATTGCAGTTCCACAGCGACGACCCCAAGCCTTTTCGTTAAGCAGATTGATACAGGTGACACAGCAGCTAACCTAAAAGTTTTCTCGCGTTTGTACAGTTACATGCCGGCGTCTTCATGCGAGCCCGCATGGATGTACTGCAACAAACCAATGCAAGAAAAATCAACGTTAGTTGAACACTATAACACTCTTGGAAGTTCCAGCAACACTTCAACCTTGCAGCTCAGCAAAACTCGGGCGCAGACTCTAGGCTCAGTAACAAAACCTTCCATACTGTGTTGTCTACTTACGTTTACACATGCTGTTTCGCAGCATCTCAGGGAGCAAATCGCTGGGAAAATTACTGAAAACACGCAAAAGTGCAATTGTATCATAATTTTCTCTGCCGAAAAGCCCGTCTGATAAAATACCGTTTCAAAAAATTGGTGTGAACATTCTGGGACACACCATTGTTTTGGCTAGAGATTAGAGCAAAGTTAAAGATCATCAACACCTGCTTCTTGCAATGAACAACGAGGCATTTTGAGAAGCCCTAGAATGAGATACACATCAGAAGGCGCATTTCGAATGTTCACAAAGTTGCCCGCGAGTGGAAAGCAAAAGTTGGTTGTTTGAACGCTTGATCAGCGGCGCCAGAACAACAAAACTTATTGCTCAAAATTTTTCCGCAACAGCTGAATAGCTCTTGGGAGTAATCGTAATCACGTATCCATGTGAAAAAAGAGTAATAACTGCGCAGTGACTATGACCGGATATTGCGATCAAGCTCGCCATGTGAAATCATCTTTTTTGCTAGAAATGTTACGCATAGCAGCGAGCTTAACCCTTATCCTATTCCGGTGTTACTACTGGACGTTGCATTGTGCCGGTGAAACACTTCAGCAAAAAGCAGTTTTGAATGATTCTCTACTTTGTGACACAGCTCATTGCGTCAATTTACTTTACTGTTTTCAGTCTGTTTCTTCTTCTGTCGTGCTCGCCTTGTCACCGCAAATGTCAGTGACGACGTGGACCGTGACAATGTTGATTGCGCTGACTATTGGCACTGCTTCTTTTACGTTTGTGACCATGCGAGCCACGAAAGTCTCACCTGAAATGAGTAACGACACTGTCTGAGTTGAAAATAAATACCATGACCGTTTCAGAATAATTGCATTATCAGTCAGTTCCATAGCAGAATAACGATGTTGAGCACATTAGGATGACTCAATTGGTCTTCGTGGCTTGAACGGTATAATGACAAATTGTGCAGCTTAGCCTGCGCGCGGCTGAGGATCAAATCATTGATCGCTCTGGTCAACTGGCACCCTCTGGGGCTAGCGGCTGCTGCGAAACTTCTCTGAAAAGATAAAGTCACTGACTTCTACATCGGCTAGCCGCCACAAGTCGCTCTGTAAGCCACATTGCGTTCACAACGGTACTATGATTTCGGATGAAAGTGGTAAGCGTGCCGCAGGGATTCATCCTTCCAAATTAGTTTTGAGTAGGAGTAGGTTGCCCGCCAGCATTTCATACCCATTTAATTCGATAACGAAGCCTTCTAGGACATAGACGCGACTGCGACTTTTCAAGAAATGATATTACGTAAGCCCTCGTGATTTCGTGTAAAGACCTAATTCGGATCGAAACTCGATCTTAGCTGCCCTCTAATATTCACCCTAACTATTCGAAAATGAGTGCGCGAATCGGCGCTTTTCTGCTTTCGATGCGCCAGCTATAGTCATTATCATATGCAGGGGGTACAGCATAGTGATGTGTGATGTGGTAGGATGTGATAGTGTTGGTACGACCTCCCACCCCTTCACTAACACCTACCTACCACGTTCCTACAAGTTCCCAGTTTCCTACCAGTTTTTCCGAAATTTCCCACATTTTTCCAGTTTTTCACCCAGAATTTTCCGTTGAGCGGTGGGGGGGGGGGCGAGGTCGTCTGGAACCAACTACTATTGTCAACTATCGTAGAAGCAGTTGTATAAAACTTGGCAGCGCCCACAACTAGGGGAGGGTCAACAACCGGAAAAATTTCTTCCTATCGCGGCACTACCAAATACGACCCCCCCTCCCCAGCGGCCAAGAGATATATGAGAATACGCTCAGATAGTTTTAGTTGCAGATGGAAGCGATCATACCTGAAAAAACCAACCGACTCCCTTGGCAAAAAGAAAACACCGCTTAGTAATCCTGCTATCGCTTCGTGAGCTCTCTGCCAGTTTCTAATCTGGGCAAATTGCAATCTGCGAAAATATCTAGGATTTCTTCTGATGAAAAGAGCAAATTCTCCCGCTGATTTGCTCACTACAACTTCGGTGAATAAGGTATTACTCAGACAATCTTTGTATACATGCTCTATGGACTGTATGTTTAGTTTATGGACAATGGGCTGTATATCTCCTCTTATTCGTACTTCAAGTGGATATTGACAATAAAGCTTGACTGCATAAGTTGGAGATTCGACAACAAAAGGTACAATAGGGAGCGAGGGCAGGAAGTCCCACAACAACCCAACAAAAAGTTCAGTGTTGAACAGAAAAGCTTGAGCTCGTAGCTGAAGCTCTCTTTGGGAAAGAAGCACGTACTTTGCCAATACAATAAGGAGTAGAAAAAAATCATCGCTTGGCATTCGATTGAGATGATCTGATAACTCATCGACGAGACAAAAAGCCCTTGAATCCATCAGGACTGCGTTCCTCCTGAAGGCTACTACAGTCACTGACTATTGGGACTCTAATAGTCACTGACTGTAGAGGCTTGAAGCGAACACAGACATGATGTGCATGAATTCCAGAGCAGGGTCAAGCATACATGGGGTCCGCGACGGGCGCCCCTATACGGCTCACCCAGGGGATCGCAGTACTCAGTACAGTAGGGAGGTAGTGTGCATGAGTGTTACGTTTGGAAAGCAAGTCCGTGGCGTGGCGCATTCCATGGAAGAGTTGATCAGCGCCTCTGTGCTACAGTTTCTATGGTAGGCCTACAGAGGTTTCTAGATAGGAATTTGGGCTCTGCAGGGGGGAAGGAGGAGGAGAGATCCTCGCGCTGCAGCTGAAGCTGACTTCCAAATGGAGATCCGTGGCTCTCAATGCCCGCACAGCACCAGTGCACTACTCAGTGTCTCGGCTTTGAATAGTTTCGTTCAGGCGGCGTCAAGTGTTAGATTTTCCGAGCTTTCATATTGTGCATCACACTACTTCTTATGAACTGATATCTTCAGTTCTCAGTGTTTTTCTTCGATTGGTTTAGTAAATCTCCCTATACTCAGATATTCGTTCGGTGAAAGTCGCATAGCACACAACATATACAGCTACATCCTTATGAACGCAGCAGGTACCTCCACCTACTCCACAGTCACTGAAGGGGGGGGGGGTCATACGGACACCCCTGATTGCACCAACCCCCCATTTTCCGCAGCGTGACACTTGACCCTGGTCCAAAGCACCTCTGCACATGCGCTTTCATTATGAGATCTAAAAAATGTGAGAGGGTTAGAAGTCATGAGGCCAAACTACGATTGCTCACTGAATTATCTTAAATTTCTCTCACCTTATTTATTGAGAGAACAAAACACTAATTCTTCGAATCCTCTACAGCATACTAATGAAGTTGACCACCACGCAAAAATTTAGCATGCATGGAATACGTTATTTCATAGCATACTCCCACGAATAATACGATTAATTACAGTTATGAAACAGATCATCTGAGATATACTATTTTTCTTGGTCATGGTTGTGCCTATTTGTTGGGGAAATTCATTTTTCACTCTATCAAAGTACCCACTTGACGCGCTTGTGGGTGTACAATTTGAGGTCAGTGATGGGCTTGTCATTCTAACAGAATAACGGATCAATTGTGAACAAATTCAGTCACGGTGGCTGGAATATATTTAAAACACTGGCGACATTGCGTCCCAACGCTGTGGGGGATGCGGCACGGGTGAAAAACCATTCTGGACACGTTTCAATTTTCAACAGCTACATATTATCCAGGAAGGTATTGTAGAATGTATGGTAGCTGTAAACCATGCAGTTGTGTCATTGTGATTATTTTATCGAGGAGATAAACAGAAGTGATTTCTTCAGGAAAAAAAGTAATTTTTGGCTATATAAAACTGAGGCTTCATCTGCAGCTAGCTAATGTGATAAGGTAACTTCCGACAACAGGAGATCTAGATCGAATCCAATTTACGACCACTGGAGCGAAATTTTCCTTTTTGCGAGCTCGCTCCCACGCTCCACATGAATGAAGTGGAAGTAATTCTTGAAAGTAATCAAAATAGCAAAGCCTCACTAGCTTCTGCATCGAGTTTTGGTACTTCTTCAATTGTTTTGGTGTACAAGCGTCCTAGCATTTACGCGCATTTTTTGGAAATAGGAAAAAAAACTGGGTCTTGTCGCCAATGTGTTAATCAAAAACTAATGTTGTGCTGCCGCTGTTTCCATCATGCGTCGTGACTTTGTAGTGAGGGGCGGTGACATGGGGGCCACCGCTTCTCATAATGCACAGTACTGAAAAAAAAATTGGGCCAAGCCACGAAATTTCATTTGTAGCCGTTTTAATATTCCCACTACGATGGTATGGAGCAGAGCGAATAATTTGAAACGATTGAAAATGCCATTTCATAATTTGTTCAGACAATGACGGAGACGATGAT